AGCCTCAACCCAGGCCCTAATGACAATGACTTGTTTTAAAAGGCATGAAGCCCCCAGTTTTGATATTCCCCTTCTGCAATCCATACCTCCAACTGCTGTATTTTCAAGTGGTGACAATGGCTGTAGGCTATTCTTTGGGGAAAATTGGATGAAAGGAGACGGAAAGAGATTGGGTGGTAACTATATGCTCAAGGCTAGATTTTTGCTGAATTTTTAAAGGGGGAGATTTGAATACATATGCAGTTTGAAGTGGACAAGCTGCAGAGCAGTAGAGTTTGAGAAGAATGAGTGAGTGGTGAGTTAGACCTACAAGGAGCTGAGAGGAGACAGGTTAGGATGGATGAAAAATGACTCTTATTTTGAGAAAGGGGAACCATTTCCCCTTTATCTTGGAGGAGCAGAGAGGGAGAATACAAAGGGATTTTAACTGGGGAGGGATATGAAGTTCAAGCATGACACACTTGATAGTGGCCACAGGGCAGGTTCTCTGGAAGGGAGTCAGAGATAGATGACAGGATTCAAGATATATATTGAGATGTGCAGCTTGGAAAGGAGGAGAAGTGGACAGGGTTGGGCCAAGTAACAAGTCGAACTGCCATGCAGGCCCAGCGGAGCTTCAGCCAGCCAGCAGAGACGAGGCAGCCAGGATTGCCCATGAGTAGCTCATGCTGGGACAAAGTAGTGGGGGAACTTCACCTCCCCCTCACCCAGTCAACAGATTTGAGGATCCTGGGAAAGATGCGACCTTAGGCAAGGTGTCTCTCTGCAGCTGAGGAAGACCAGAGTGCACGGCGGGGCTCTCTCACTGTTCTCCTGCAGCCTGGCCACAGTCTTTCTTGCAGGGGGTCTGGGCCCTTCTTCTCCATGTTCACAACAATAGCTTTATAGTTTTGGCCTTGCATCAGGTGAGGCTGTATTTTGAGAATGAAGTACTAAAGGTCAATTGAGGAGAATGGTGATGATTTGGAAGAGTCCCCAAGGGAGATGGGGGAGGGTATTGGCCAAAGACAAGGGATAGGAACAAGTATCACTGAGACTTGACAGGGAGTGGACCCCAAATCTACAGTAGCACCATCCCAACAAGGATGCAGCTTCAGGTAGATGGCGTGACTTTCTGTTAGAAGATCTTCTAGCCCCATTTTGCTACACAACCTGTGACTGACAGAACTGGAACAGGAGAAGGAAAAACAGGTGGTGGTGATTACCCGGAGCTAGATGTTGGATACTGGCAAAGAAGGTGCAGTGTAAGTACAAAGGAGTCACGGATTCTAAGCATCATTCACGTCTTCCCATGGGCAGAAACCAGGTTGGAGAGATGGCTGAGAGGTCAGAAGAAGTCCACTTACCAATAAGCAAAGCACATTCAGGGTTGGAGGCCAGAGTTGGGGCCTCTGGGATGAGAAGAGAGGGGGGAGGGTAGCAGCCTCTCCCAGGAGCCACAGTCACCAAGCTAGGTGGGTGGGGACCGTGAGGTGGATGACTCATTCAGGGAGCAGCTGCCATTGAATAATTCATGCAGCCGGGCACTGTTCTGGACACCGTTGATAGAGCAGTTAACAAAACAGCAACGGTCCTGTGCACGTTTGCATTTCAGCAGTGGGAGACAGAAAATAAAGTAAATGAGAAGATGATGCATCCTATGGAGAAAATACAGCAGTGACGGGTGCAGGGGGACGAAGATAGGGTGGTCCATGCAGGGTGGTCCTGAAAGGTGACATGTGGGCAAGGACTTGAAGGAAGCAAGGAGTGCTCCATGCAGATAACAAGGTCAAGAGCTTTCCAGACAGAGGGAGTAGCAAGTACGAAACCCTGGATATAGCAGCCTGCCCTGGGGAGGGGTGGGGGGCAGGAACCAACAACAGGCAAGTGGAGTCCAAGTGCGATGCGCAATGGAGACAGAGCCCAGGGGCTGCACAGGAGGCCAGGCAGCAGAGGACCTTATGTAGGTCACTGAGGACCTTGGCATTGACTCTTGGTGAGATAGAAAAATCCATGGGTGATTGGCATGGTACCCAACATACATATCTTAACAGGAGCCTCTTAACTGTTACCTTGAGAAAAGACTGACTGACAGGAGCATGAAGGTAGATGATGCTGGGCACTGTGAGGACCCAGTGTGGTCCAAGCAGATGGCTACAGCTTCAAAAGATGACTTACTGTCATGTGCGTGGACCCTGAGTAAAGAATTTGGAAGAAATCAGAGCACACTGCCACCGCTGACACCTGTCCTCACGCAGTCTTCATCTGCCCTCCTTGCCACCTCCACCCCTCCACCAATTTTTTCCTTCCTCCCTACACTACTGAATTCCATATGCATGTCCTGCATTTCTAGGTTTATTCTTAAACTCCATCTTCACAATAAGTTTGTATCCATCCATTTCCCACATTGATACCCCTCTGTGGTGTTAAATATCTTGACCCTCTCACAACTCTTCCCTTCCAGCTGTCTGCTGTCTCTATCCTTGTTTATTATAGTTTATTGCACCCACCAGGTGTTTCAGGTAATTAGCTAGTCTTCTGTTGAAGATGTTTATATTTGAGCTATCATTGACATCAATCCTCTTAGTATATCTTAGAAGAATGTTAGAATACAAATTTTGAAGATAGGCTAATTTTAAATTCTGTTTCTTATTTTACCTGTCATTAAATAAGTCAACTCAGTTTTCCTCAAGTTTGAGGGATGCAGAGGACCACTTGTAAAGGAAAAAAATCATCCTTGAAAACTTCGAAGGTTGAATGAAATTATTTTAAATGATATTTCTTAAATATGTCTAGATATACATTTAGAAACTATTTATGGTTATACAACTAGAAGACCCAAATAAAAATTTATAAATTAAAGATAAAAGAAAGCACAAGGCCAAAAGTATCCAAATTAACTCTACGCACTTAATATGGTGGATTTTCTTATGGAAACGGAATCAGTGCTTGGGGTACCAACAGGGCCCTGGGTGGTTGGTGCAGGTTCTTCTGATCTCAGCCTGCCCACGACCCTTGCTGGAGGAGCCTCAGTCCTGCCAGCGCTCCTCCCGTGTGATCCTTCTCGCATACTTGGCACCAGACCACGGGACCCTCGCTTATCGGAAATTCTCTCTGCCGCTCTCCTTTCTGCAGTAATTTCACAAAACCAGAATATGACTCCTTGCTCCCCAGGAGACCTAAAACTCAAGGACTGACAGAAGGCTGAATTTCCACTGCAGCTTTTGGTTGAACTGCAGCCAACCAAGTGACCCAGAATATTCCATTACTAATTCTTGAGACCAGAATAGCAGCTCAGAAGTGAACAGCTTCTCAGAAAAGAACCTCAGGCTGCAAGTCTTCTCGGCCTCCAGCTGGAGAAACGCAGCTCGGATGTCTCTTCTAACGTCGGATCTCCCGTTCCTACTTTGTAGATTGGATGTAACTGTGGCAATTGACTTACTAGGTTTCCACCAAAACGTCCACGTCCGGATTTTTATTGATTTTCTTGGACTGTTGCCGGGTGGTAACATCACCTTTTTACGTTTTGTTTATATTTTTTAAAATGTTTTGTATTACCTTAGTGAAAGTTTACGGACCACCTTCTCAGAGTATAGAATACAGTAACATCAAAGACTAGAATATCGAATATAATAGCAAAGACCAAATCTATGTTCCAGCATTTTACAGGACCACAGAATGTCAGAATTGGAAACAACCCAAGTTAAATTCATCTCTAAAATACTCTGCATAAATATAGTCATTTGGCCTCTATCTGAAAACCTCCAGTTACTGGCTTAGAAAGCAGTGTATTCCATTTTTAAATTAGAAATGTGTTCGTATTGAACCCAAGTGTACCTGCTGTAATTTCACTTGTGGGTTACAATCCTATCTTCTAGAATAACACACACATCCCATCTCTCTTGCAGAGGATAACTCCTGTACCCTGTAAGGACACTTCCCTCCCTCCTCAGCCTGCCCTCGCGCAGGCACATGTCCTCTGCTCTTTCCACCTTCTTACATCACAGCGCGGAGAAATGGCTCAGACGTAGTCTGGACACATTTTCATACAGCCCAGTTTCCTTAATAGAAATGTCAACAGATTGTGTCATCCATAGATCTGATCCCAAATAAACAGTTATCAATTTTGTTTCCAGAGTTTATATTATAAATAACTGCAAATTAATACTGTGGAATAACTCTATTTAAAAGATAAGGATGGAACCCATTTTAAATGGTATTAGTATGTGCCGGCAGATAGATAGATAGATAGACATATAGAGAGAGATACACGTGTATACTTATGTATATATGTTTATGTATATTTATGAGTATTATTTATTTACTTTTTTTTTTACAACTGAAGAAAGAAAATGTGAAAGCTTGAATACGCTCCCACTGTCTGGGTAGGACCAGAAGAAGACCGCCATGGCCTTCTTCCCATGTTCTTTCCATGAGAGACCCTTTCCCAACTGAAATGCAGCATCTTTAGGGTTTTGACAAAGCCTCCTGGAAGAACCAGGCAAGGCTCTCAACCAGAGCCGAATCCCAGAAGACAGGGCGTCCAGCTGTCCTATCTTCCTTGTTCACTCTCAATGTGCTGAAGCCCAGCCTGGAGAGGGAGGAAACAGGATGTGATAAATAAGTGAAATGAACCTATACGTGCCAGCTCCTCCTCTCCGGCCCCACAAAATCCTTGCTCTATCATCGGGATAAGTAACGTGCCAGGCAGAAGTGATGTGGGAGCCTAAGACCCCGCAAAGCCCAGGTCACAGTCTCTGCGGGTGCAGGGAACGGGGGAGCGAAAACGCCTGGCCAGGGTCACGTGTAGCTCCTTCTGCAAGAGTCACAGTGGGGTCAGGCGGGAGCAGAGCGCCCTCAGGGGTTGGCTGTCTTGTAGTTGGTTAGACAGTGTTTGGCGGGGAAGCCCGGAGTCCTCCCCACCAGCAACACAGGTCGTTGGACGTCATACCTGCCCGCGAGGACACATTACCGCACAGAATGGGAATAACACGTTGATGATTAATTCTTCTTCCCAACAGCTGGCTGCCCCAACTCCTTGATTAAAGAGCTCCATCACTTCAGGATTCTTGGAGAAGACCAGGTGAGTCAGCCCCTCAAATGCTGCACCGGAGTGTCGGGAAAGATAGACACTAATGAGACAGTCTGGGCTCTCTCCGGGGAGGCAGAGTGTGTCTCCTGACCCTTGGTGCCTGAAATGGGGAAGAGATTCATGCAGGAAACACGTGTGAGGACACTCTTTTCCTCTTCTATCCATCAGAGTTGACAGGTTATTAATTGGTACATCTGCTATCTGCCAGAGCATTTCATCTCAGGACACGGCAGTCAGCAGGTGCAACGTAGTGGCAGATATGCAAACAAATAAGTGCCCAAATGAATTATGCACAAGGGAGCAATTGTCACAGGCAGCCCTGACTTGATGTCTGGGGGTGGATGTGCAAGCTTTTTCACCAGAATTTCATACTTTGTGTGTGTCATCTATATTTCACGCAGCCGCTTTTGCCATGGATGTAAACTTGGGATTTATATACGAAGGATGGCCCATTTAAAGTAGATTATTTAAATGCTGTGTTGTGCTCAGTGAGACGTGTCAGATTTTAAGTACACGTGCTAAGTAAATAATTCAGGGTGCTAAGCATTATCTGTATGTATATGTATACGTATATACACACACACTTTTGACTGCTTAAACATAAACCTCTTAATCCTTATATGGAATTAAAGACTCCATATTATTAGGTTAAATCTTGATGTCCAGTTAGCCTTGAAATACTTATACCACATAGTTGTCCACGTGCTTTATACTCTCTTACTGATTTTTGCTCCCAAGGGTAATCTTTGCCCGCACCGACCAGAGAACATGCAAAACCCCTGTGGTGGCTCGGTTTTGTCAATGGGCTTTTGGTTTCTTTTTCTTTGGTATGTATATGTTGCAAAGTTGGACCGCTCATTTCCAATATGAGATTTCAAAAGGGGGGTTAATTAGGGGAAAATGAAAAGCTGGAATTATTTCCAACTCCTTGAATGAACAGGTTACGTTTTGCCTCATTCAAATTTTTATACTGTAAATTTCCAGAACAGCAGGCATGGATGTTTATTCAAATACAAGCAAAATCAATTATCCTCCTTTGCAGGTAAGAGTTGATCACGGACCCCAAACATACCGATTTATGAGAACACCTGAATCTCACAGCTATTTTCCTGTGAAAGCCTGAGAGGTTCCTTAAAGCAAGAATCACTGATTGTTACCCAGAGATTTCTGCTCGGATAATGGAGCCTTCTTTTCTAACCTGTACCAATATTTGCAAATTGTTTCCATATTTGTTTTAGATTCATTGGGTGATTAGTAGGGAAAGAAGCCAACTCTAATCATCTCCTTAGATTTGCATAACATTCAAGCCACCTTGCATTTTCCTAGAAATTTAATCAAGCCAAAATCAGAATCAATATTACTCTGATCAGCTGTGCTACGTGGCCACACAGTGCATCACAGCACTACTGATCTTTATTTCCTGGAAAACCACAGTGCCCGCCTTCCTTCTTTCCTTTCACTCAACAGACACCTACTGAACACCTGCTCACGTGCTAGACACCATTCTCGGTTACAGGGAGAGAGGAGGGAAAAAGAACCCCTTCTAGGCTCACGTTCCAGTTGGGGAATGCTATACTGCTATATATACACACATGTGCTCAGTATGTATTATGTTAGATGGTTATCATTGCCATGGGGAAAAATAAAACGAAAAGAAGGATAGTGAATGCCGGGGAAAAGTGTGATTTGCCATAAGGTGGTCAGGAAAAGTCTCACGGAGGCAGGTGCTAGGTGCATGAGGACCTGAAAGGTGTGGGGGAAAGCATCTTGGTGACATCTGGGAAGAGATTTCCAGGTAGAGAGTAAAATGAGTGCAGGAATTCTGAAGTGACCATAGGTAATGCTTTTTTATGTAAACATATTATGAAATACAGGATGTGGTTGGAATACAGTGGGAAGAAACCCGGGAGCGTGGAAACAGGAAGCCAGAGAAAGAAAGCATCTCTAGGAAGAGAACTGATTGTTGGTGCTACGTGCTGATCTGGCAGGACGAGGGTGGGAGTTGAGCACCGGAACTCGAAACTTGGAGGTCACTGGTGACCTTGACCAGTGGATGAGTGAGGGTGAAAATCTGCCTGGCTGGGGGTCACTGAAGAGGGGGGAAGAATGGGAGAGAGCAAATATAAGTCCCTTTTTTTAGGAATTCAGCTATAAATGAAACTAAAGAAATGAGGTAGCTGGGGGTGGCAAGTGTGAGATCAAGAAAATTTTTTTCATAGGAAAAAAAATACACCACGTTTATGTGCTACTGGGACTGATTCTGCAGAGAAACAGGGAAATTTGAGGATGCAGAGGAGGAGAGAAGTTCAGGAGCAATGTCCTTGACTCGACAACTGACAGAGTGTAGGTGTGGCCCAAGTGGAGGGTGTGGGCAGCTCAGCGTGGTAGCAGTGGGGAAGGAAGGAGGTGGCAGATGAGAGGAGAGAGGGATGGCAGAAAGGTGGTAGGATCCATTACTACAGGGCCCAGTGGGTTCAAGGAATTTTTGGAGTTTGGTTTTTATAAGGGTTTGGCTGGAAGAGTAGATGTTGGCCAAAGAATGAGATACTTGGCATTGAGATTGTGGAGACGGTGCTGTGATCGGCAATGGTCCTGCAGAGGACCAGGAACATTGGTGGCTAAGCTAAGGTAGCAGACAAGGTGACTGGAGAAGTTGGGGTCATGGACTTAAATAACCAGCATGTTGGGAATATGGCCCCTGTGGACACTGACGTCCTCCAGAATGATCACCAGAGCAGACTTGGAGAGAGTTATGGTGAGTCAAGAATGGAAGCTTCTAGAAACAGATCAGGGAAGGGAAAGGAAGGGAGACTGAGGGAGGTGGGCATCAGAAGCTGACTACAAAGGAGAAATTGCACACAGCAGAGCCTGAGAGCTTGAAAATCAAAGCTGGAGGTTTTAGAAGGAGAAAGGAAAGCTGTTCTATTTGGGGTGTGTTGAAGATCAATGCTCGGTGATGTGAAGAGTGCAGTGGAGAAAACATTTGAGGGAGCTGAAGGGGAAGTCGTGTCCTGAAGCACAAGCCAATTTCAGAGAGGGGAATAACGTGAGAAAAACATGGAGAGAGTAAGTAGATCGAAGTAACAGGGCAATTACTGCTGACTGATCAGGGTCCCCCCAGCTCAGGGGCAGAAGTTGAGGCAGCTGAGGGCAGGGTAGGGAAAGAGATGTATAAAGCTGGGTGTGGGGTTGGGGAACAGGCCAGAGAACTGATAAAGGAGCCAGGGATCTTGGTGACTGATACAAACAGGACACATCAGTCAGGGACCTTTCTATCCTGATGACACAGAACAAAACCTAGGGCCCCAGGGTCTGGAAAGGAAGCTAAGCGTTCCAGCCCCACCTCTCCTCCGGTGGAGTGGGGCAGGGCAAGGCATCCCCCAGAGCTGGTGAAACTCTCAGGCTCTCTCTGGATGCTTGAGGTAAAATTGACATATTACTTGATGCAATGAAACTTTAATTTTGTGCGTTACAAGTGCCCTTGGACAAATCATTTTAGTCTCTCTCTAACTTAGCTTTTCCATTTGTAGAAAAGGAAGAATAATGCTCAGTCATCTTTTAGAAATTTTGTAGATAAACAAGGTTACAAAGTAAATTGCAAATATTGAGTACTACACTAAAATGTTTCTGATTTAAATGCCATTTACACTCCATCAATAGATTGAACTTGTAGCAACAAAGTAGACACCAAAATCAATGTAATGTTCACTTAAAAGTGAATTGATAAAACCCATACAGATACTGGTTAATTGCTGGATTCATTCCTGGGTGATGGAGATGCTTCCCAGCTGTCTAGTTTCTTTGAATGTGATGCCTTTCCATTTTCACTGAACTTTAATAGGCACTTGATTTTTGAGGTCTGGATTAAAAGTAAATCATTAAACACTATAAATCATTACCTTCCTAAAATTAAAAATGCACTTAAAACTCCTTGGAATTTAAAATAATACATTTACTTTAGCTTCTTGGCCCTTTCTCTGATTTGTGTTTACAATTCACATCCACAAAGCACATTTCATACCCTCATCCCCATCCCACCAGGTCCAAACTACTTGGAAAAGATATTATCACATTCTAAGTGAGCAAGGCTACTCCCAAGTTGTAAGTGAGCTCTGGAGAAAACAAGTATGATATGTGAAAGTCCCCAGGGCTTAGAGAGCCCGCAGGAGAACTGCACTTCAGAAGACCTCCACTTATACCAGCTTCCTCTGCTTTGGGTTTAATTACTAGAACTTTAAGAAAATAACTTTCATTCATTCAATGAACATTTTTTACTCTGTGCTACTGTTGGATAAAACAGTAAACAAGGAAGTCACAGGTAGACATCATGATAAATACTAAGATATAACCTACTCTTGATAAAGAGTCAGGGACCTCTGAAAAATGGAAGTTGAGAGAGCACCCTCCACTGAGTGAGCAGGATCACGGGAGTGAAGTGGAAGGGTGTCCAAGCAGAGGAAAGCACATGTTCAGCAGCCCCAAAGGAGGTAAAGACCTTGCTTTGTTAAAGCCACTAAATAAAAACAATGTGGCTGGGAAATAACGAGCAGGAGGGATGGTGATGAAAGATAAAAACCAACTAGACCATGTAGGCCATGGTCAAAAGTTTAGATTTTATTCTGAATTCAATGGGAACATCTTAAAAATTTAAGCAAGGGGCTGGCATTATCCAAACTGCATTTTAAGAATGTCAGTCTTGTTGCAATATGGACATTGTCTGGATTAAGATGATTGGCAAAGGAAATAGAAAGAAGAGAATATTCAGAGGCAGAATTAAAGTCTTGGTGGTTGACTGGCTGTGAGCCAGGGAAATGAAGGAGTCCTTCAGGTCTATGTTAAGAACTTGAGATGGTTAAGATGGTAGGAAGGTGAGAATGAAAGCATGGAATTGGGGATTCAAGTCTGAACTTGTTTGATATGCCTGAAGCATTGAGAAAAAGACAAGTTGGGATTTGGATGTGTGAGTTGGAGCTGAGAGGAGATGGAGGTCA